CTGGGTCACGAATCTGTGCCAAGGATACCACAGTGAGTTCCATCTTCTTCAGTAACACTAAACATTTGACATACATTATCTCGTACAAAGCTTAAAGCCAGCCCCAGGGAGGCATCAAGCACTGTCAATCTTTAACTTAAGACAATTACATTTCTAGTAAAGTCACAGAACAGAGAGCGAACTGAAATTCACACACCAAACTGAACAATAAAGCCTGTACCCAACATAAGAAAGATTAACCAGAGGAGTATCATCTGCCTGCAGCGGGGACTGACACCGTCACACAGTATGCATGCTATGAAGGACGAAGAAGCTCTTATTTGAGCACAAAGTGATAGTCCACAGTTGGATAAACAGGATGAAGTATCCACAAAGGAAACTTTTAAGAATAAACAGTAGAGAGGAAAAGAAACTATTCCCAATGAAGGAAACAGTATGTTCAAAGACACAAAATGGCATTACATATTCAATGACTAGTAAGAAATGAAGGTAGATAGGACAAGTGCAATCTCAGGACAGTTTAACCAAATTTAAATTCGACCAGTAAATAAGAGAAAGTCACTGAGTAATTGTAAGTGAAAGACTAACTATATGTATGCTTTAGACATACTGCTCTAGCCTGGAAATGGCCTGGAAGGGCTACTGCCTAGAAGCAGGGACCTTTTAGGCTATCAGGAGCAAAAGCTAACCTAAAACTAACAAAAACTAACCTAAAAAAGCAGAAGTGACAGAAACAAAGATTGAGCTGGGCAGTGGAGGCGCACACCTTTAATCCTAGCACTTGGGAGGCAGAGGCAGGCATCCGGATCTCTGTGAGTTCAAGGCCAGCCAGGACTACAGGGAGAAACCATCTTATAAAACAACAAAAAAATTCAAAAGATGCATAGAAAGTAGAATTATTAGACATCCAAATCAATCAGAAAAGACAGTAAGAAGGTGAAGGAAAGAAAGGAATCTAGAGAAACCCAAGTTTCTCTCTTGAGCTGTGGATATAATGTGGAAGCACCATTATCAAAACAGGTACTAGAGGGGCAAAACCAAGGGTGACAGTACAGAAAATGCCAGATGGTCCTGGTACCAAAGGATGTGTAATAAACAGGTAACTCTAGCATTCAGAAGTGACATTTACGAGAGAATACAAATTTAGAATAGTACCTGAGAATGGATGAAACACCCTAAGGAAATATGTATAAAGGATGGCACTGAAGATAAAGCTCCAAAGGCTAAACACACTTAAAGCAGGGGCAGATGCAAGTATGAAAACCAGGAAACAGTAGCGTTGTGCACGTTTGCAGGAGTGTATATACAAGGGACTTGGCAATGCACTGAATGAACCAAGGGGAAGAGAAATGGAGGCTTGCTAATTGGCGACCAGCAGATTGATGACAGTAGAATAGCTGGCAAAAAAAAAAAAAAGACAAAAGTGACTAGCAGAGAAGGGAAGAATGAATGTGTTGGCTGAGAAGAGAGCAGCGGCTAAAATAGAATATAGAAATGAACATTTTTAGGATAGCACAGATTTTAGCACTTTACAGGATGAGAAAAAGACCTGTGGTGAGAGAAATGTCTAAAATATATCTTTACACTTAAATCAGTGCATGGAAAAGATACCTATGACATAATGTTAAAGGAAAATACAAGTTGCTTAATACAGATAGAATGATGTCACTTAAAATTCAGACTTTTCCACTATGACTTCACCCATGCCAAAACTGACTTCATCGAGTACCACTTTCCCTCACATTCAGTCCCAGCAACACTGGCCATTCTTTCTGACCCTTCAACACAGCTTGTTATATCTGCCCGAGTGTTCTTCTTGTCAATGGCTAGCCCTCTAGCCAACTCTAATCTTGATTCATGTGGTATCTCCCCAGGGAGGCCTGCCTACCTCTATGTAATATTACATTCTCTCCACCCCCATCTCACCTCTCAAAAGATACTAGATTTCCTTGTGATAAAGGCTAGCACAACCAAACATACTACTAACATTCTCATTTTTCACTTGTCCACCTTTCTCTCTGGTGCGTAGGCTCTGAAGGCGATTTCATCTGCCACATACCCACATATTAATGTTCAATACTCATCTTTGTCGAAAAGTTATTGTGGTGGTAGGCACTTAAAAGTAAAACTTACACATACTATCTGGATGAAAATGAACACACCTATATTTACATGAAAAATATGAAGAAAGTTCTGAAACGAGCTAATATTCCTATATAAATGAGCAAGAATGAGTATGAAATCAGAGGGGATCTATAATTACACTCATCTTGTGCTTCATCTCTCTTCAAATTGTCTACAAAATCTTTTGCAGTTGAGGAATATTTTTTTTTTAAATAATAACCCTGGATCTACAATAGGCAGTCTATTCTGTTTTCCCTTTTCCTTTAGTGAGCTGTCATGATTTAATCATCTGTAGGACAGTTTTATTGCAGGCTAATGTGTGAGTTATTCTGACAGTAGTTAAAGTTAAAATGTTAACCCTTGGCATTGGCAAAGCTTCAATCATCTTGGCTGACGCCCAACTCTACAGATATGAATACAAACTCAGAAATTTAATGAGTAAAGGTAATTTAATTAAGATACTAGTGAAAAAAACCTGCAAAAACCAAAATAATTAAGAACTTATTTTAAAAAAACATGTAAAAGACCATTGTACATTATGTAAATGGTAACTAATAAAAGCTTATGGTCACATATAACCCTACAATCTTCTGTGAAACTATTACTTAAAGTAAAACTTACTATTTGACCAATGAACACTTTGGCCAAACATTAAAATATGGCCAAAGATTCAGAATATAGGGAGTGAAAATATACACTCTGAAAACTCTAATGCCATTCGTTAACAGACTAACTGACCTAGCAGGCACTTTCTACCATGGTTTAGTATGTCAAGTACATAAGGGGTTCATTATACTATGACTCAAACTTCTGCATCAACTGCTTCAAGGTGTATCCAACAGAACTGATGATAATGTTAAATAGATTAAAAACACTCTAAACATAATTTATATTAATAATTATTTCTTACATATATACTGTAATTCACCAAAATTAAAGCAAACTTCATCTGAACTTCTAAATAAGTATCTCATGCTTAATAAATGATCTCATTTGAACTTCACAACTACAAAGTCAGAAGATATTTCCACCCTTTAGCATGTAAGAATGAGGCTCAGAAGCTAAATTTCAGCCAAGCCCTTAATCTTATTTACCCCTTGTTTTTTTTCCATTCAGACACCCACGTACCATTTTCTTTATGGATGAAGTAAGGAGCTTTTTTTTTGAAGAAAAGAAATCCCAGCATTCCTTTCCAACTGAACTTGAAATTTTAGTACATAACAATAATCATTTGTCTTAAATGTCGATGGAAAAAGATCAAAGTGTCCTTTAATAGTTTGGCTCACCAGTAAATCTATATGAATCCACCAAATGGTCTATTATTTTCTTAAGCACAATAAAGGTACCCCTCTTATCTATAACAAGATTTACAGATGTCCCACAAAATATTAAGAAAGGGACTTTATGGTTAGATGAAAATCTAAAATCAATTCATAGATAACACCTTTCTCTGAAAGTTGTGGGAAGACTAGGTAAGACACTATGTGGCCAGATGGATGACACAAGGTCAGAAAAACAAACATGCAAAAACAGGTACCACTGACAGGTAATGTTATTTAACTTTTAAGTTTGATTTCCAGTTTTGTTTTTGTTTTTTTTTCCCCTCTCAAATATTTAAGACAGGACACAGCACAACACTCTTGCTCCCAGAAAGCCAACTGAAGCAAGGACTGCTCCTGCAAGCCTGTAATTCAACAATATTGTGGTCATTTATGTATTCATTCCTTGGACTTAGTTATACTGAAATCGATGCTCACACTACTTGCTCTGCTAACTGCACCCATCTTAGTATTGTAGCATAAAATATATAGTAAGCCAGCTTTATATATACAAACCATGATATTGCAAATTCATATTAGGAGGAAAACTTCAAGGGAAATGGGAAGAAACATAGCAGTCCATTATACACTAATTTACGTCCAATCCTAATAAACCTCATCCTAGTCAATATTAGCATGGTCTTCTCGATTAGCAAAGGGAAGTTCCAACCACAGTAACTACAGCAAATCTCTCACCCCATTCAGGTCCTTTCTGCTTCTTGTGATCCCTGCCCAGAATGTCCTGCAGCCGCTCTACAAGACTATTTTGTTTTGTTTTGTCCAGCTTTACTTTTAGGTCTACCTTAAACAGTACCCTCTGACCATGCAATCTAAACCAGCCCACACCAGTTACTTTATCCTTATTTCCTCACAGAACACATAGTGGTCATCCTCCTGAATGATTTGATCTATTACTGTTGTGTCTTCATTGCTCAATACTCAGTACTGAGGAAGGCCCTGTTTGAATGAATGAACGATCACACCTGCCTATCTACAGTCATTTACCAAGGATATCTGCCCCCAAGTTCCATGTGCTAAGTTACCACGACTTTCTCCACGGGTGGAAGGGGAGGTGCTCTAGACTGAGAAGTGAATGAAGAGGTGTGTCCTGCTGCCTCCTCAACACCTGTTCTCTTTATAGAAATTAGAGAACTACTTATATTGTGTGTACACTGTCGTCTTCGATCATAACACATTTAAAAAAAGAAAACATGGCATGTGTGGCACTACTTCCAACCTCATCGAGCCGATGACATCTGCAGTTATTTAAAACTAAAAGACATTAGGACACTCAAGGGCCTTTTTACTGGCACAGCATTCCTCTTGGATAAGTTGTTCTGAATTTACCAGCACACCACGCAGAAAAATGTAAAAACCAGCCCTAAGGTATCATTCTGGTAATGGTACGCCGTTCCTTCTCAAAAGACAGCCGATGCATGTATTCTGCGGCACTTTCGCTGTTAAAACAAATAAATTTCTTGCAAGTAATGGTCATCACCAGCAAGCAACGTGTCTGCATCTGATAACCTGGGCCCTCGGAGTTTACTTAATACTTACGGAGTCCTCCATCCTCCGGTACTCCGGTCCCTCTCATCCCTAGGTAAGTCAGTCCCAGTATCAGGAAAAACAGGCAGGCAGCAGTCAGGAGAAACATGGACAAGTAGTGAGCGCTGAAACTCCCCGTGGGGGACACCTCTTCCCGTTTAAACTGCTGGAGGAGTTCCTCTTCAGGCTCGCAGAGCTTCGGTTTGCCATAGGCATTTTTCAGGTAGGTGTGATTGGAGCCAGTATGGTTGGCGTGATTGATCCTGAGTGATGGAGGGGCAGGGGAGGCGGCGGCCGCGCCGGGAGGGAGGCTGTTGGAGTAGACACCGGGGGGATCCACACCGAAGGCCCCCCCGCCTATGTGATTATTGGTTTTGAGAAGGGAACCTGTGGGCGACTCCAAGCTTGAGTCCACGTCAGGGACCGGCGGGGCCAGGAGCCAGGGC